CTGAACTGTATTATTTAATAACCTTAATAATACAAGTAAATTACATCTGTTTCTTCTATACTATAAACTAAAACTTTCAATTCTTTTTGAAATATATTTAGGCCTAAACATAAGTTTACTTGAATAACTGGTTTTTGTTAGTGTGTTTTGTTTATGGCAAATCTACTATGACATATCTGCCACCATTCCTAATTTTGAACAGCCAACCAAGGGGTAAGCAACTGGTTAACAGCAACAAGCCAACTCTTCAATAATGGGATTGACTGTACATTATAACATCCCCATGGCTGAAAGAGCGAGCATGTTTGACTACAGTTTCATTCCACAACCGACAGATCGCTAGAGTAGCACCCTAATCACCAGGTCATGCCAGGCTAGGACATGTAATACACTGTCAACCACCTTTTCCACAACATCCTGCAGTAGGTGAGACAGTCATACACTCAGGATGCTGTATTTTTGCAAATACCTTTTGTCACTTGTGTAGTTTCGTTACAATTTATAAATAAATAAATTTAAATTTCTACATTTCTGTTCTGCTAAAAATATTCAGGATTTTTATTTTAAAACTTCCTCCTTTTAATCTGTTTTGATGTTTAGAATATATGAATTTTCATACTTTAGGCCTTCTGGAAGGTATGTAGCAAATATTGTATCTAAAACTATATGTATATTGTAATATAAATGATTTATTACTTGTATAGGTAATATACACATTGTAAATATGTTTTACGATATATATATACATATATATATATATATATATATATATATATATATATGTTATAATGTTACTATCTACATTTGTTATATATATACATACGACAGAGTTGAAGGATGAGGCCTTCTATATACAAATATCTTGAAAAGTTAACCAAAACCTTAGCAATTTCATATCACACATACTTTATTAGAAATACTTATGGAAACAGTGAATAAACAGAGTATAAATTGCATATATTATGGAATTGCTTCCCTCTATTGAATGAAAACTTTGTGTTGATGGTTGATACTGTGATTAGCAGCTATCAAACTGATACAATAATGCCACTCGAGGAAAAAGTCGATAAAAGTACAGACAGCCATATTACTACCAGCAATAGTGCAGTGAATGCACTCCTGGCTCCTAGAACAAAAATGTAAAATGGCAAACACATAGAAATCAAACTTTTTGGCAGATGAGTGTTTCTCCATATAACGGATTGGGGCAAAATTTCATGTTTCAATAAGAGTTGTATAAATACTGAAGAGGGTATGTGAAATTATTTTTCTTAATCACAGAAGTACTGCAGGCAAACAACTTAACCTCTTCAAACACTGATTATTAGAGAGAAAAACCCAAAACGTTGAAATAGATTTCAAATAATTGGTAGGACTCTGAATGTTGATTAGTATAAAATTAACAGACTACTACTCCCTCAGGAACAAGACCTGTTGGGCAGAGATTTATCTACTAACAAAACAATGATCCAGAGCATGCAGTAAATGTGGTGGAACACATATTAAAGAAAAACGATGAAAATGAAATGCAACCATGGCTTGCCTTCACAAGCCCTATTATATGAATATTATTAAGACTGTATTGGCTTATACAGAAATAGAGAAAGCCAAATATCAACCAAACTTACACAGTGAAAATAACAACCACCCTATTCTGATTAACAATTTTAAAGTAATTTCGACCGGGTTATCCAACACCGAACTTCTCATCAAAGAAATCTTGTCCATTTTAAACGAACGCCCCACTCTAAACAATAACACAACTTCTTTACAGCTAAGCCTATTATAAATATCCCTAGCACATTGTCAACAATGTTATCTCTATACCTCCCCTTCTTTACCACACTAGTTTTGTAATATAATTGTTAAAAAAATTTTATTTCCTGTCGAAATCCTGCTGGTCGTTGTGTTTTAGATTGTTTGTTTTTTCTTTCCCCTTATGCTACTATAAATGTTCCAACTGAATGAATATGCGTATTTAATACTATTGATTAATTAATACAGTCACTGAAGATGGAATATGAATATTCAGAAACGTCCAAAGAATAAACGTACATTACCGAAAACAGTGTCGAATGTTTGCTATTACCGTTGTTCTACTGATTATTATCAAATTCTGATTCCCATCGAACAAATCCGTTGCTAGTGTAATAAATACAAAATAATAGTCCACTGTACAATGTATTTGTTTTACAACTGTGTTTTCTTTGATAATGTATTGTACAAACAATTAACACTGTAATTATTCATTATTTATGACCCCTGTATGTGCATCATCTGTGTATTTCCAAAATTATTTCTTCTATAAGTACATTTTTCTCAAACAAAAAACAAAAATATTTCTAGTTTTCATTACCAATTTTAACCCTTTTTTTTTGTAGCATCACATATATATATTTTTCTTCAGTGACATTTACAATTTTGTTATAATGTGTATATGACCGAAACATCTTGTAGAGTACAGTTGTGGCAAAAAAGTATTCCAAGTGAAACTAGCATGAGAGGTCATGCACACAAAAAAAAACTGCTGAGAGACTTTAAAATTAGCATATACATAATAATTTTTGTAAAAATGTCTATTCAATAACACAATTTAGGTAGTATGACTGGCAACTATAAACAAAATTAATTTTAATCTTAATTCATACAAGGAAATATAACTGACAACATTATGTGTGAAATTCTTCCCAAAAGTTTAAAAGGTAAAGGAAATTAACATAATAAAATAAAAATACCTTTCAGACATGTCACTACCAAAAAAGCTGAGAAATTTGAAGTAAAAATAATTTAATCCATTACATGCTGGACCAAGTCTACTACTGTACCCAAAAAAAGAAAACTTAAGGAATGAAACGCACCTAGACAGAACATTGTTAGTTAGGTCTAAGCGCTCAAGACCTCGCAGCATAGTTATTTCATCAGGAAGGACAGAAATTTTATTGTCTCGAAGATCTAAAACCTTCACAGTCATCAGTGTTTCCAATAATTCTGGTGGGATTCCAGAAATTCTATTATCCCCTGCCTGCAATTCCTGCACAAAGAAATAACATGTAATTACAAAGAACTATTGTTTTGTAAACTATGTTAAAATACTTGATTAAGATCTCAGCAAACAAAGTTTAATAACAGAGAATGTTGAGCTATGCTCTAAAGAAAAAAAGATCTACCAATAATGATTTTGAAAATCAACAATAAATTAGCAATCAATTGAAAAAAGTTAAGGAGAGATGGAGAACAAAAAATTCACAAATTTAATAAACATGAAATTGAATTACTTTTGAAAGTTTATCTTACATCTTGGCAAAATGTCTATATTTGCAGAAATGAATGTTAAAAATATTTATCAAAAATCAAATCAAAAACATGAGATTTATCAATTATTTTAAGAAGGTGTTTTATTCAACATAACACATTACATATCTTTGACAAATGTTATGTTATACAATTTAATCTTAATCTTGACATATCAGGGTTTGAAGTTACCAAAACAAAATTACTTTTGTCTCCTGCAATTGGAAATAAAATTTTACTTGTCTCAGAAACATTTAAGTTGCATTAACCTCATAACTAAAACAAACTTGTTCTACTCCTTCCAGCTCCCTCCTTAAAATATTTAAAACAAAAAAATGGCTGCATCTTAGCACCTGAAGAATGGAAGTGAAGAAGGTAACAGGAAATACATGTAATTGGTTGAAAAGTATAACCTCGACTAACCCACCTATGAATGGTTGCCAGGAAGCAAAACTTTTAAGTGAACTTCCAGGCTTTTACCATCAGAAGCAGCCCTCAGGTTTGTGTATACAGGGTAATCGTTTCTGTAAAGCTCTAAGAATTTATATCAGGTTTAGTATTTTTTTCTAGTACAATTCCTTTTCTAAAAGAGGTAACAAGGAGTGGATCAGAACACCATTAGGTACATGTATACGCAAGGAGTTTTGCGGGGGTTCAGCTGAACCACCTATTTTTGTGATGTAAAAACATCATGCTTGTATAGTTATAGCACAACTACTTATGGTATTTAATCTTTTGAATGTTTGTGGCTTTTATGTGAACAGTTATGCAATTGTTTATGTTATATTTCATGCAGAATTGCTTCCAGAGTTCATCTCATAGCACCTATTTTTTACAAATTGTCTGGGGTACATGCTCCCAGGTTCCCATAACACAAATTAGAATCCTCCTTTCAAACATTCTGCATATGGGCCTGAGGTACTAGTACAACAAGAAAGAATAGACCATTGTTCTCTTTTGCAAAGAAATCAAATATTTTCCTGTATCCAAAGGACCAAAATTCTTCTTTTGAATATGCAGATTACAAATCTGGAGTTCACATGAAATCTACTATATAATAACAAGGTGTATTAAATTTATTTTTAATAACATTTCTTGACATTTTGAGGTTTAAGATGCATGCATTTCTTTACCCCTTGTGGAGGCACCCATATGTGACACTTATGTTATTAGCAATATCTCCTGAATGTGGATATCCGACTAGTTGGAATAGTGAAGGCTCACTCCATGTCTATATAACTATTTTTACACATTTTATGCCTATTCCCACTTACTCACTTTTCTATACATGAAGCCTTCCTCTTCCTCAAATTTTAAGAATTATATTTTGTTCAATTGTAATTTTTTTAAATTATGCTTATTTGCTCCTTGTGGTACCATTAACACTTGGTGTTCTGGTACACTCCTGCTTGCCAACACAAAAATTGGAGGAAGGAAAAGAGAATTACTATATGCTGTTTTTTATCTATTCAATTTTGACATTATGGCTCTTCTATACCTTGTTGAGCAAAAACTTGCTTTAAAAATATCCCATACAACATCACACAAAGCTACATGCATAAACGTGATTTCAATCACATGAAATTCAGCATGTAATATTGGCTGCTCTTGTGAGTATTGAGCAATAAGAAGCAGAGTTTCAAAATCTTTTATAATTCACCAAAACAATAAATGGAGGTTGATTTTGCATCTTGGCAACTATATACTGATCATTTTTTGTGGATTTTATGAAAAGCCTTGACCTCAGGACTTACTTATACACAACACAAGTTTGTATCTCACTTTATTTGCCATCAGTAGTACATGTAATCAGTACATTTTAAACCCTGCATGTTAACTCTCTCAACACAGGCTCAGTTAATTTGACCAACCACATGGTTATATATCTTTATAGATATGATACTACTAACTTTTAATATAGTGTGTGTATATCTTCATGAAATTTGGCAGAATTTCAGAAAACATTATAAGTCTTTCACATACAAAAAATGATGTTTTTAATGAAGTATATTTAATAAACTAAAAACGATTTGTCCTTCAATATATTGAGTAGTTGTGTTGAGTAGGCTGTGTGCAAAAAGCAATTTTATGTTGAGATTAAAAATACTTTTCATCTCCAAAATCTGAATGATCTTTAACATCTCCTAAATACATTTCAAATGTTTGTTTTTGGTAAAACTTTATATTTTATATGTTATTTTCTCTACACTAATCCTATATGTGGTTGGTCAGTGTGACTAGCCTCATAAACACCAAGAGAATAAAAATATTGAAATAAATCTAAATTATCCTTTTTTCTTTCTAGAATGACTTCAAATGTAAAATGAAACTATATTCATTTATCCTAAGTAGCTTTAAACTCATAACAGTATACATCTATTTATAATTAAATTTTATTGTTTTATTACCCTTTGAACCATGTCTAACAATTATTTGTGCCATTATAAGTTGTAAATCATTTGGAGAATGTACAGCTAACATTACACTATTGAATTACATTACCCATGAGCGAGTGTCTCATGAAATATTTTCATTATATTATTATATATTTTACTTAATTTAACTAACCTAACAATATCCCTATTTTTACATTTTAGTTACTTTTATAATAATAAATAAATAAAGAATAAATATGAAAAACAAGAAATAAAGTATTTACTTGAGTTTTCTTTTTGTTGTTGTTGACTATCGATGACCCTTAACCCTACTTTTTTATACTAATGGTAGTAGTGCATTAAATAATTTTTATTTATTAAATAATGCACCAAAGCACATAGAATAATAACATGCAAAAAGCAGACAATTTCCTCAAACAATTACAATTTTTCTGGCTATCTAACCATGTGACAAAAGCCATTACAAATTCATCCAAGCTAGCTGTTGTGATTCCCATGGAAACCAAAGTTGTATTACAAGTGAAATTGAAGATTATCTGTTCAGTACACAATGTAATATGATACATCATTTGATAGATGAAAACCTTGGCTATCTATTGGTTATAAGTAATATATAATTAAACATAAGAGAGAAGTATTAACAAATCCTGAGAGAGAGGATGTGACAAGTGGGTGTGGCAGGAGGGGTCTTATTTTTCATTTGATAGTTCTGTAACCAAACAAAATTGTAGACTTTAAAAATTATTGTTTCTCTGAGCAATGACGATTTTATAGTGATCAATTTATATTTAATTTTGTAGTTACTGGAGAGGTGGGAAATTCAGGATAAAAATTTATATACTATTAAAATATGGATTATTAGCTAACATTTTATGCTATACTAATTGGTATAACAAACAAAAAGTGGTTTAATAAAACTTTTAATGTAAGGCACAAAACCTTAGATGTCATGCACAGTAAAGAATACCCATGGCAATAGGATTAATGACAATACATATAAAATGGTAAATTTACTAAGAAAACATAATATGTATACAGAATGAAGCTTATAACAAAATTATAATAAAGTAGAAACATCAATATTTGAAAAAAAATTACAAAACTGGCACTGGTTTTCACTTAGCAACTTTAAGAGAGAATCTCAAACTTGAGTTTCACTAAGCTAAACCAAAAAAAAAAAGAGATCAAAGTATCATTAAAATATAATTTTAATGACTTTGAAATCAAGAATATCTAAAGCTGAAATAATTATGTGTGACAGAACTGAGGATTAAAAACGCTTATCACAACTTCTTTGCTTCAAACTACCCATTTCAAGTCAAGAATAAAAATACTTTTTATTCATCTGAAAATTTTAAAGTTTCATTTGTGTAATCTCTGAACCTCCTAAGTAATTATAAAATGCTATTTTTCAGTAAAACTTTATATTTTATCTGTTATTTTCTCTACCCTAACTCTATATATAAGGTTGTAAACCTCTTAAACCACCAAAAAAACATCGAAATAAATCTAAATTACCCTTTTCTTCTTTCCAGAGTAACTCAAATTGTAACATGAAATTACATTTGTTTATCCTAAATAGTTTTAAACTAATTACAGTATACATCTGTTTATACTTTTATTGCCCTTTGAACTGTGTCTAAATTAATATTCTCACCACAAAATTTGTAAATCAACTGGCAAACATAGAACTCATGTTACCCTATTGAGTAAGACACAGGCTACTCACAAGTTGCTCACAAGCATACCTTGTAAAACAGTTTTATTTTTATTTACTTTACTAAATCTTACCTTATCTTACCTGAAAAGTTCCTCATTTTTACATTTTACTTACTTTTATAACAATAAAGTATACATATGAAAAACAAGAAATAAAGTACTTACCTGAGTCTTCTTTTTTCTTTTCTGTAGACTGTCGATGACATTTAACCATACTTTTTATACTAATGACACTATTGCACTAAATAATTTTTTACTTAATTAAATAATGCATCTAAGAACACAAAATAATAACATTAAAAACACAGATAATTTTCCATAACTATCTCAATTTTCCTGATTTTCTAACTACACAACAAGAGACATTACAAATTCATCCAAGGTAGTAAATGTGTTTCCTGTGGGAACAAAACTTGAACTGAAAGATAAATTAACATTTTTCTATACAGAAAACAGCATAATATAATATGTCATTTGACAGATTAAAACTTTAGATTTCTGTTGGTTATAATCAATATAATATTAAACATAAGAAAGAACTACTGGCAATTTCTGAAAGAGGATGTGACAGGTGGGCATGTCAAGTTGTCTCTGATTTTCAACTTAATGGTTCTGTAAACAAATAAGATTGAGACTATAAATATTATCTATGCCTGAGCAGTGACAACATTATAATGAATATTTTACATTAAATTTCATACTTCTTGGAGGTGTGATAAATAAATTAGAGAACCTTGGATACCTAGAGGTGAAATGGCACAATTCTCACACTAGGGGAAATTGAGGATTTTTTTAAATATTGCCTTATAAAAAATAAGAACTTAAAATTTATATAATGTTAAAATTCGTATTATCAGCAACATCTTTATGAACATTTTAAGAAAGGACTTTAATTAAGTTTTGAATATAACTCACTAAAATTTCCTGACATGCAAACAAAATGATGATGCCCATTCTGAAAGAGTTAACATGAAAATCACCTTGCATTCAAACTATCTCAGTAAATATAGGCTTCATATGATCACAGCCAAATCTTCAATAAAAATACTTAATTATACAATCTAATTTACACTAGTAAAATTATTTGTAAATGTTTCAAATGTAGAGATTAAGCTTTTCTTCAAATCTTCAATAAAAATACTTAATTATAAAATCTAATTTTTTGTGTACAACAGAGTTGTAAGATTTACTAAAAGCTTGAATTTCATAAAGATGCACTTAGTAGATTCAAAATTATAGTAAACGTTGTTAAGAATAGCTTAACAGAAACAGAGGTTGTACAAAACCATCAACATTGTTGCCAGAGCTGAAAACAATAGACAGAGTGAATTTTTCATATACAATAAGTTGCTTAGCTTCTTGTTACACTACACCCAAAAATATAATCAAAGAAAATAGGAATGATAAGAAGTAACTAAGGAAAAGTCTTTATTTCTATAAAATATAAACAGATAAAGCAAAAAGGTTTGTATAACTCAGCTGTTTCTTTAATTAATCTCTATTCTATTATTCAGTGTTTTCTGTTTTTTTAAGAATTTTTGAGATTCATTGATGCTCTCTCTCTTCTTCAGAAATCAATGCATTAATGGTATATTAATCATAATTATCCAAGCCCTACTTATAAGCATTATACACATATACCTTTAAAACAGTAGAGCCTCTGAATAATGGGAGACAAACTAAATGGTTGTGACGTACATACAGGTGTTCCAGATGCAGCAAAATACCAAGTTCTTCAGGAAGCTCAGTCAGGAAATTGTGAGTGATATCAAGATTTCTTAGAGCTAGGGTAAAGAGAAATATCTAGCTATACAATTTCTTCACAACATAGAAAACTACTGAAATAAATAAAACCAAAAACTAATCAAATACATTATAATAAAACAGGTTAAACTCTATTTTAAAATAAGTAAGAAATGAGTACTGATACACCACTAACAAATAAATAACACTATAATGTCTTGTTACAATGCTTCTGTTAAGTTCGAAACATTTTTTATGCACCATAACATACAGAAGTAAGCAATTATAACATTTGACACTAAATTAGTTTTTGTGAAATTAAAAAAAAATGCTGTCAATAGTGGTAATATGATAGCAAGTGAAAATTAGTATCCCTTACAATATTGAAGGATAATTGTTATTGATGATATTTTACAGCAGAAATAATGTTGCTGCTCATCAGTAATAGATTTAAAACTCTGAAATTTCCAAAAATTTAGTTTCTACATTATAAATGTAAGAACTAAATTTTCATTTATAAGAAATTAAGTACAAATCAAGAAAAACAAAACAATGCTGTTCAGTATCTTAGATGCTTGCAATTAATATGGTATACTTGTCATTCTGTACCAATTGTTAGTTGTCAAAGTTTTTATATGTACTTCTTTGTCCTGATAAAAACCTCTTCCAACATTTTTAGTAAGAGATAATGTTATATATATATATATTATTTTAAAATCATCTTTCTGAGTATCATACCAAATATTTTACAATGAAAGTGTGGTGTTATAACCACTGATAACACAAGGTATGTACACCCTTATGGCATATTAATGGCCATATCAGTTCCATACATCTGATATTTACTAGTAACCATATCCATCTGAGTCAAATTACTGTCACTGGAGTACTTATATTTACCATCCATACTGCCAATCTCCGGGGGCAGCATCTTCAACTTGTTATTTGACAGGTTCAGCTTAGACACATGACTTAAGTATCCTATTGTACATGGAATGCTGACCAACTTATTATGTGAGAGGTCCTGTCATAAAAATAAAGACACAGCAAGATAGTTAACAGGTAGAAAGATATACAGACGTGCAGAAAGACAGGTACGTGGAAAGGAAAGTCAGAATGAGAACTTAACTGCCTTATTACAATACTTCCTAAATAGTTAATTATTTTCCAGTTTAAACTATAACTTACAATAAGGAAAGTTAATGATAAATAAAGGAAAACAATTTCTACTTAAATCCTTAAATCAATGAGAAACAGCTTCATAGAAATTTGTAACCTTTTCCCCTCATGTTTGAATCATAACATTTTCATATGGAGAGGAGAACAGTGGTGAGGAATTTTACTCACAGTAGATCTGTATAAATATGTTTTAGTTCAAGGAATCTTGGCTGCTTGCAGTTTTTGGAAAGTATGCCCAACATAAGCATAGGAATCTGTTAGCTAGCCCAAACTACAATTTGGACTTTTTATGTCTTGTTGTATTTGTTTTACTGATAACACCAAACAACCTACCACCACAAATATATTTACATTTATGATCTTAACCCTACTGATATTTAATTTGTCTTACATTTATGGTGCCTAATATAAAATTATTTGTAAATGTTTCAAATGTAGAGATTAAGCTTTTCATCTTGGCAAACGTTAAAAATTACAATAAATTATTTTGAATTTTCTTATAAAGTCTTAGTAATTAGCCTATACACCTTAATAATAAAAAATGTATTCCAAATAAAATTGAGTAAGAAATGTATAACTCAACAGTGTACTGTACATCCTTAAAATACAAAAATTAATGACTAGTGTACTTTGACTTCAACAATTTCTTCAGTTTCATAGATACCAGTGTATTTAATATTATAAAAAAATCAGTGTTGTACACACCATATTTATACTGCATTAACTAAAATGCAAAGATAATTACATAACTGAACAAAAATTAACATCTGATTATTAAATGCCTTACAAAGAAATTACAGCTATATGAAAGTTTCAAAATAAAATTTAGTTTCACTATTACAAATTATTGTAACTTCAAATTTTAAAATGCAAACTTTAATGGAATTGTAACCCTCAAATAAATGAAGCAAGAAGAACACCAACTATAATACATTTTTGTAATGGAATTTGCATATTCCATTATTTGACTAGCACTGACACTTACTGTTAGTATTATTGATTGAATGAAATATTTAACAATAAAAAAAAGAAACAGCATGTGACGTAAAGATTATATCATTGAAGCACCTAAAGTTGAATTCTGCAATAAGTCATTATAAATAAAATATTCTTCAAATTCATGAAGAAGCTTCCAAGGTTCCATATAAAGAAATCACTGAGTTACAAATACAATATAACAGTTTACAGCTACTATATCTTTCTCATCATAACTTTTCATGCTCACTACCTCCATAAATCATTTAAAACCAATATAACTGGTATAAACTTATTTGAAGTTCTCTTTTTTCACTGAGGATAGTTGTAAATAACAGCATATGATAAATTTCTTTTTGGCAAATAAAGCAACTATGAAAAGTGATGCCATAAAGTTGAACTTAGAACAATAATTCTGAAAGATTAGTGACATAAACTTTCAGTATAATAATTCTATTTTGCCTACTAATTTTAAATAAATGTCAAAAAAAGTAAAACTGAATACAGATGATAAGATGAAAAATTTGTTAAACCATCAATTTTCAGAACTTTCACAGATGTACATCCTTTGCAGAAATATACGAACACCATTTGAACACGTGCCATCATAAGGGAACACGTGCTCTATAAGGGAACGCAAGTGAGGATAGAAATAAACACATATGAGATAGGTCAACTATAGTGTTGAAATGTTTTCAAAATATTAAAACTTCTTAAAATGTTCAAACTTGAGAGATATAAGATTACAGAATGCTGTTAAGTGTTGAAATGAATTATATGTGAAACAGTTGTAATGCTTATTCACATAAAATCAACTGTGCACAAGACCATTCAACAATACAGAGAAGTGGTAGTATAACATTCAGGCCAAATTGTGACAAAAGTTCATTTGAAAATGTGCCACAAATCCTCTATGAACCAAATTCTCAGTGACTTTAGTGCATCAAATGTGATCACATTTCAAAGGGCATCAACTGTGATGTTTTGCTGTATATGTTGTATTTTATAAGAGCTGGAATAAAAAACACAAAACATTCATCAACCCATGTGTTGCCCTGTAAAGAATTGTAATGGGAGGTTTTTGATGAGGCTTGAATCCTACACCTTGATTACATGTAGGACCTATTTATGAAATCTCTGTACATCTAAGTGCCAGCTGATCTCATGTCTGATTTCAAAGCAACAGAAGTTGACAGAACCAGAATTTTATAACAGTCAATCACAAACCCATATCTAAATCCCATAAAACATTTCTCAGGGGTCGTTTCAGAAAGTTATTTCACAGCTTTGCAGTCATCGTCAACTAGACAAGCCTTTGAAAGAACAACAGAAATAAACAATACCTACATCAATAAGAAACTGGCGACATGATACACTTATTAACAGCAGTTATTCAGGCCACAGTTGGTGCTACAACATAGTAGAAAAGTAATCATTAGTAATCATATCTATTTCTGGACACTTTTTGTTGATTATGATAATGATAAAAAAAAAAGAGGTTTATTTTAAGTATTAATACTTTAACATTTCCTCCTGTTTGTTATCATAAAATGGCCTAATTATTATAATCATTATTTTATTCTTTATTAGATTTATCAATCATCACTGATATAAATATACCATCATGAACAGAAAAAGCATGTTAAGAGCTCATATCATGACATGCTCTGTTAATTTGTATATGGTTTACATAGATATGAAAAATAGAGCTATTTCCCACTAAAAACAAATATTTTTTTTCAGTATTTATAAATTAACAACTATAAAAGTAAAAAAAAACAGAAATGGAAAGCCATCTTATAATAACAATAACAGTAATGTATGATGTAAGTTATTGAATCAACAACATATTAGGTATCAATTATTTCCTGATTACTTACTAGTCACTAATCCTAAAACATAGCAATAAAATAGTGAAAATTGAATGATGTAGACAGAGTTACATATCTACTGATGTTATACTGTAAACAACAATGTAGCAGTTTCTTAGTTGATGGTCCATTATGAAATTTTGATCATCTCTTGTATCAAACTTTAACAACTTATCATCATTAGTTTGTTCATTTCCAGTTTCTTCCCTGGCATACTAAACTTTGTTGTGATACCTGAATCAGAGTGTAGTTTTAATCATTTCATTTACCTTGTATTACACATCCATATATATATCTCTTATGATTTTTAAGTGCTTTTACATCATTCACCATTATAAAATTGTGGAAAGATGAATGTAGTACATGTATGTGTCCTTTTGGACTTTTTACTTGTAAACTTTAATAGTTAATTCATAATCAATTTAAATCCAGTTAATATGTGAAGGACTTATTTGGGGTCTTCCATAAAAAAAAATCTATCATTTAGGTTAAGTTCATAAGTTATCTATCTAAAAGTATTTGTTTTAATCTATTTCTATTTGGAAGTTTTTCAATCTATTTTTATTTAAACCCTTTATCCAGGATTTAAAAAAAAATCTACTCACTGTATAAGCAGACAGAAGAAAATAGTTTTATATAATCTTAGCCCTACTATTATCAATGTATACATCCACCTGTTTTTGGACAAATTCTTCAAACCTATTTATGTACCAAATAGCTTGTGGGTTCATAACATTGGTGCTCATGAGGTCCCTAATAACACAAGTTATATTAAAACATTACCAATAACACAATTAATATTACTAGTTACTCCATTGGGTTCCCTGTGTACTTTACAAATAAAATTAGCTTACCTTGCTTTTGTTATAAGCACCATACTAGAACTATATTCAATATGATTTTTAAAGTTTGTAGACAGGTTGAATGGGTAGTGAATGAAACTTTATGAAAAATGTACATTTTAACATAAACGTGTCGAAACACTGTACATTTGTAATAAAGTTTCTTTTACAACCCATTCAAGCCATTTCCAAATTTTATTTTCTAAAATGCGGGTTCCTTGTCATCAAATTTATATTCAACATGAATTAACAAGTGGGTGTTTGTGCAAATACCCTTTTCAGGCCATTTCCACATTTTATTTTCTAAAATGTGGGTTATTTGTCATCAAATTTATATTCAACATGAATTAACAAGTGGGTGTTTGTGCAAATACCCTTTTCAGGCCATTTCCACATTTATTTTCTAAAATGTGGGTTATTTGTCATCAAATTTATATATAACATTGACTGACTATTAGGTGTTTGTGCATAAACTTTTTTTTTCCACATTTATAAGCAGTTCACAACTCAGGACCAATAATTGTATGGAAAAACACAAATAACAGATTAATAAAATACTCACTCACATGCTGAGCTTAGAATTACATACATGTGTACAGAAATACTTTTGTAGTGCTCATTTAATAACCATGTTTAATAACTATGTTTCACTTAAAACAGTGCAGAAATAATTAATGTGTCAAATAACTTCTGGTTCTCTTGAGATTTTCTTGTAACACTAATCCAAAGACAAAGAAGACTTCTAGTGACTTTCTACAAGGAGTTGAACAGTATGTAGATACTTCTATTTGTTAATATTAAAGATTTCATTGCACTGTATGTTGATGATAATAGCTAGTTTTAGTAGTGATATAGTGGAGAAAATGGAAAATAAAAATTAAACATTTACCTTAAACAATTTTTGATATTCATTTATGAGGTTCTAGAGATTATGAAAATGAAATGTAAGAACTGTAGGATAAAAAATAGTATTTTTATATTTCATACAAAAATTACATGTTGCAGGTGAACTATTCAATGTCTGAGTGCAAATATCTACATCAAATAAAGATTTTTTTAATAGAACTAGTAGAAAAAATCAAAATTGAACATTTTATTTTCTGAAACTATGTACTTTTAGGAACACTTTTGTTAAATTTTAAACAATTTCATCCACTAGTTTTTTGAAATATGATGAGAGTGACATTACCTGCTTACCAGGTAAGCAGACAGTTGGCAAAGGGATAAAATAGACTTGCTACAGAATATAACATTTTCTTACACTGAAAATGTATTTCCAATAGGTACTTACTTTTCCTCACCTAAAGCTATCTCCATCCTGGTTTGCACTCTAAGCATTGCTAAAAAAACTTTTTCGCTAACAGTGCAACAGTCTTTTATATAATCCTTCATTTTCACGCCATTTTAGAACAAGTGCTGATCATGTGACTACCCTCAACTAATCATACTAAACAATCTATACTAGCACAACTAGCTCCCTCTACTATATTGTGGGCAACAAGAGCAATCCTCCCTGTCAAAATAAAAAAAATCCAAGGGAAATGCCTTGAATAAGTAATTTGATGAAAAATTGTCAGGTAATTTTGAATCATCTTGATAATGTGATATAAGTATACATGGCTAGAGTTAAAGGACCATAATTTGTATATGAATAGGCCAAGTGTGATCCACCCAGGCAAAAACATCCAGGGGAAGCGCCGTGGGATACTATTGAGTATGTCAAATATGGTCAGTCCAGGCAGAAAACGTCCAGTGGAAGAGCCTTGCAAAAGAAATTTATTTTGCAATCAACAAGTGCAAAAACATCTGGGGGAAGGACCTTGGATCCAGGATATTATGTTATTGCATAATCAATAAGTATAACAACAATAGCCCTCTCTCACTGAATGGGTACATGTGAATTCAGGTGGGAGATAACCTCATGGCTAGTGACACACAAATATCATAAACAGATGTACAAGGAAAATAGCATTTCTGTGTGAAGAGGTCAAATAATGTCTCTGCAATATTTTTTCTAGATAAAAATACATTCATTGGAAAATGTACAAATGGTGACCTCAAGAAGATGTCAATCATACGAAACAAATGGTAATTCAAAAATTACTTAAAAAACCAAAATTCTTAGGCGAAAACATTAAGCTGAATATTATGTTACAATAATGCTATGGTTCACAAACTTTTTAAGATGATGCACCCTCTTTTTATATGGGGGTAGAGGGGGTACATCATATTGTCAGGAATGCTCTATTAATCAATTACAAATACCACAAGTTAAAACATTATCTGTGTAAATTATATGTGCTTTGCGATGCATTGAACAATATTTGGAAATTTTGAGTCACATTTTCTTGACAGTATGAGAGAAAACTCAACAAGGCTTTCAGTACTTCAGAAGTAAAACTACCCAATTTGAATATACATATCATTGTAGTATTAGGACAATAGACAAGTAAATTAAGTTGTAAGAAAGTGATGAAAATGTCCCTGTATTTAAGATCTTTAAATGTTTGGTGAATTTAATTACAGATTGAAAAATAAATATCATTATTATAGCTGGGCAATAAACTTGATTAATCAGTATAACTGATTATATCAGTTAGTGTCACATAAAATAATCAAGTAGTAGAATTTACAAACAAATCAATTAATGTCATAAAAATAATCAACTAATTAAGATTAGTGTTTCTAATTATTCCAACTATTGAAATAATCAAAATCTTTCCATTATGATTTCTCCTTATTATTGTTCAGCTCTAATTATTATATAATTATACTTATGCTTTAAGACATATAGTACTCTTTATAAAGAACTGATTAAACAATAAACAATAAATTATAGGTCTAAATAAAAAAATTGCAATCTTACAAAAATATCTAATATAGTGTGGCAATTTCAAAACTTACTTTGATAACACTGTGGTTTTACCCAACTTTAAATAAAAAAAATATATTACTATACCAGCTGTTCCAAAAAGAGGAGGTTACCAATATCTTCATCAAGCTCTTCTAGCTGATTATATTGCAGAAGAAGAGAATGCATCTCCTTAAGCTGGAAAATACTCTTCGGCAAGGCTTGGAGATGATTATGGCTAAAGATCAAAATCTAATATAAATCATTACTCATCTCATATTACACCATCATAAAGAATCAGAAAGCAACCACTTTTTATCACAGGTTTTATCATCACAGCAGATATAGTTACTTTGCAGTTACTAAAGGAGCAACATGCCTGATATTTCTTTAATAATAAAGAAAAATTACAATGGATTAAAAACTACTCCCTAACAATGCTATTTATGCAAACATTTATTGATTTTAAATCACAGTTTCACATTTATTCTTAATTTGAAAGCATGCAGAGGTTACATTAGAAGTGCACACAGGAGGTTTACATGAAAGTGATTTTACTTTAAACCAACCATAATACTAACATGGCTATACCTGAGAAAGGAATGAAATAATGCCACTACACACTTTCAGAAATATTCTTTCAAGAGGCTGGTTGTCAACCACACGGCCACAAAAGAACAAGAATAGAATGTGCTAGTTAGTACGTGTTGTAGCACAAGATCCTATCGTATTAATGATGGTAGTGGTGGGTGACTGAAATAAATGAACCATAGTAGGTATCCAACAATCAAGCTGAAATTTCACATATAGGTTATATGAATGCCTAGGTGTACAATGGAATACTCAACATCTCCTTTAACAAAAAGCAGACAATGAGCCATATAAAATGACAGAGACCTACAACCTGCTATCAGGCATTTAAGTAAAAGAGACCATGCAATGGTGAAATTTATCATCCACTTATAAACAGAGAAGAGGGCAGAAAAACAACAACACCCCAATCTCTGTTAGAGAGTTGATAACAAGTGCAAATGGTGTAAGTAATAGAAAACGAATGCCTTGGGTTTGTTTATTCTAAAGACCCAACTGAGAGATCATAAATATCACATTGTCTCACAGAAAAAATGTGACTTCCATGTAACAAAGTAACAACCAGCTTTCACGAGTTAAAGGATTTTTTTAAGACCAAATATCTAGCAAGTGTTACAAACACTATGAAAAGAGGATACATCCTTTCCCTAAGCAGTTCTTATATAGGAACAAATAATTCAGGTTCAAAGATAGGCAGTTCTACTAGCAAAGATTCTGAGAGCATCTGCCACATAGGAATTTATTATGCCATCTGAGAGACATAGCTGAACAATTAGTGGAATTTGCTAATTGATTATATTAAACTACTCGATTATTCTCACATGAAACTAATTTATTTACTTTCAGCTTCTTTTAGTATTTTTAAATAAATTTTTAAACTTTCCTTCATTTAATTGATATACATTTTCATGCACATCAATTTACAATGAGGTTATTTTTTTAAACTTAATCTATTGTACACAAAAATATATCATATACGTAATGTAAAACCTGTAACAAACTAAAAATACAATAAATACAGTTCCATGGATTTCTACCTACAAATTTTCAAAAGAATACTAAAAAAATAAATAAACTGATTCTTCATTAAAAATAATTGTCATTAGATTTCATGTTAATTATAAAACTATTAAAATTATTTTTTCAGTGTGTGATAAATATTTTCCATATATAATATTCAAATGTTTGTCTGTCACACTCAGTATCTCCTGAATGGTTGGCTGTGCAAAAAAAATTCTATATCAAATTCCTTATTTGTAAGAGTATATTACAAGAAAATTATTTTTTGCAATTCCTCAACTTCCATATAAATATCAACATCAATTCATCAGTCTTCCTATGTGCTGAATGATCAATCTGAGAAAATACTTAAGAACAAAAATGTTTCTTTCTGTGAGGGAATTTCACAAATAAACAGGGCTTCCTCTGTTGACTGATTGAAAAAAAAATATTTCGAAGATAGAAGTATGAATAGAAAGAATACACAAAGAAAGGAACATGTTTGAGTATATATTTGTTGTTGTTCAGTTTATACACACACACACACACATATATATATAATTTTTTTTTATGTTGGTATTATATACATGCGTGATTTTATTGTACAATGTCAAATAAATTTATTTGAATTGAATTTAATACCCCCCTTTTGACACCTCTTATAGAAATGACAACTGTGAAAAACCTATTAATTCAATAGTGGTCTTTTCTTATACTCAGTAAAATTACAAGGAACAGTGACATCCCACAAAAAAAGACCCATGGCTACTTAGTGAACCTGAATGCTCTATTGTGCTGGATGCACCCATTTCATCATAACCCAAACACTGTTGCCAACAGTACATTGCAGTCAGTTTCCTTTGCTTAAAAACAAATGCAATGCAACTTTTCTTATTGAAATAACACATGAAATGACAAAATACAGTTGTAAACAGTCAACTAGACAATCATATTGCATATATGCTCTGATCCAAGGGATTGAGTTGACTGCATATTTGATATTTATTCATCACTATATTTAGGAAAATTATCATTGAACTATTTCAATGGGCATCTGCTAGTGATATATAATTCAGTGAAAACAAACTCAATCTGATCCTAGGAGAGCAAAGAGAGTATAATATTTACTATTTGGTAAGAAAACTTGTGATGACATTTTTCCAGAGATTAAAATGATTCAAAAAGTGGAAATATTAAAACCACGTAACATTAAAAAAATCTTTATTACACACACATTTCTGAATTTGTTTCTAATTCCATCATCAGCATGAAAAACTTAAAAAATAGTTAAATATTTTATAAGTATAAAAAACATCATAAGCTTTTAAATGAAAAATTGTTAGTATTGATTAAAAATAACACATTAAAATGATTAATACGTTTACATTTTACAGTACAGGTTGGAAGAAACAGTAGAAATACAAAAAATGTGTTAAGAAATCAATAAATCACAGAACTTAAAGTTCTTACTGCAATAGGCAGTGTTTAAGAGACACATGATAGCAGCAAGACTTTTGTTTTTCCCTCTTTCCAGTGCTTCGTATCAAGCTTAAGTTAGTCATAATTTAACTGGAGTCCTGTTCATGTAAATAGATTAACAACTTAAAAGCTGTTACATATTGTTAGATTATTATTAGTCCATGTCTAGTAATTTCTCACAAAAAAGTTGAATGAGCTATTCATTCAGCAATCAACTTTTTTTGGAGTAAATAAGGAATAATGAATAATAACTTGCCATAAATATTTTTAAGGCAAACTTACTCTAAGTAACACTGATTATGTTTGTAGCTTGTAATAAGTAAACAGTATATTAAGTTAAAACTATACTACTTTTATTTCAAATAAGGTTGATATGAACACCAGGCAAATATAGTGAGTTATTTACCTAATAGTCACAGGGCCACACCCTCACACTAGTGAGTTGTATGCAAACAGAAGTCATGCATACACAGTCAAAATAATGGAAGAAGTAACAGCTGTCATGTCACAGTCAATCCCATTATTTGTTGGTAAACAATTTGATAGTCAGTGCTGTTAGTTGGTTGCTAGTACCTTTAGTAGCACTGCCACAACTCAAACACAAATATAATGCCCCAATGGCATAAAGGAAAATCATGGTTGGTAGCAAAGGAAATCAAATCCAACCCTTGAATGATGAGGCAACCAGTTTAATTACTAAGCCACACCAGCCCTAAGCTAAACAAACTTGAATTGATCTTAAGAAATAATAATGAGAAATCATAATGGCAATATTTCCTTGAATATTAGGGGAAAATACAACATTTATTATGAATATACATGCCAACAAATATGAAACTGCACCAGTAAAACTGTAACAAACAATGTACAAAAGTATAAATAGTATCATTTTAAATTGTAAATGTCTACAGCCATGTCACCCAAAAGCACTGGGGATATTCCATCTATCAGACATAATCAAAACAACAGATTCAAAACAAGAAAGCAAGCTACAGATTCAATAAGGGTACAATTTTTCACTGTTTTATTAAAGTTTTTTTTTGGCAAGATCATGTATTTGTTAGAACATTCATCCATAATAAAAAATGTGGTACTTTTATACACACAAGTATAAATGTGCATGTACGTATCTTTGTATATGTATATATATATATATACATATAGACACACACACACACACTTATCTCAATCCACACTTATTACACCAATATTTCTTTTTATTTCCTATGTAAACATAACAAATGGCATAATTACAGTGAACTTTCTAAGACATTACAAAACTGAAAGATGTAAAAATATGTACTAAAACAATAAATATGTCGTTAATAAATATTTCTCCTGAAAGTAGCACAGAAGCAGAAATATTTTTACCTTAAATTTAGTCTTGTAAGAGCTTGTAAGTCACCTATAGAATCTGGTAGATAAATATATATTTCTTCTGAAAGTAGCACAGAAGCAGAAATATTTTTACCTTAAATTTAGTCTTGTAAGAGCTTGTAAGTCACCTATAGAATCTGGTAGAGTAGTTAGTTGATTATCATGAACCTGAAAATTCAAATTAATAATGTTAGTTAACAACTATCCTTGCAAGTTAAAAGCTATTCATCTCTTTCTATAATTTCATATTAGTCACAGTGGCAAGATATTAGAACTGCTAGTACATATTAACTGGTAAATAAGCTTATGGTTTTTGTATATAACTATAAGCATAAGTGCAAATATGCATTATAAAATGGGATAAACTTACACAAATGGATGATTTCCTTCACAGTACTGAACTGTATAAAAAAATACTCTGTCAGGATTAGTAAAACCAGAAAATTTAGAATCATCAAAAATGTGACATATCTAATAAAAGCTAAAATAAGAAGATTATTAGAAAAAGGTTAAACTGTTGTATTTTATGTGCACTGTTCTGATAAGAGATTGCAAATTTCTGCTCTTCAATTTAATAAAAGCATCCTATGATTTTTTAGTTGCAAGAAAATGTGCTAAAATATATCGTTCATATCAAATCCATAAAAAAACTGCATAATCATAAAAGATTTTACTGACCATCTTAAAAGTTAAAATTTTCCTAAACTGAAAATGTTTACCTCCACTCAAAAAATAGCTTTTCTCAATCAGAGCAAATTTTCAATGCTCACCACTAGCCTTCCAACTCCTGCTTCTGCATATCCACATGTAAATGATTATTCAACAACTCTCAACCAATAGGAGCATAACACAACTGCTATCATAACCAGTACCCTCTCCATAATTGCACCTACACCACATATCACCACAAGTGTGAAGGCTGGGTGAGAAATTTGAGAAGTGATAAGTATCTATTCGAAATACATTTTCAGTTTAGGAAAACATTAACTTCCGATATGATATCTTACCTCCACTCACAAAGTAGCTAGAATCCAACATTGAACTGGTGGACGGCCAGTGTAAAAATGATACCCCTTTAGGAAGTGCCCAATAAGAGATCATGAGGTGTGGAACCAAAAAAGAAAATATCATGGCTCAGCAGGAGACCATACCACATCTGATCCAGATATACTCTTCACTAATTTATGACTGTGTTGCGAACATAAAAGGCGGAAAAACATGAAGGAATCCCGTAATATGTATTATCAATTAATGGAACCCCTTGGTGTCGAGTGTCTAGGGCGTGACAAACCGTAGTGGTAGTTCAACCTCATCCAACCTCTAGCGGAATCTGGAAATGTACAACAGTTCTGCGGTAGGTAGAGGATCACCTACCTCTTCACCTTGAAATGGACATTCGTAGGGAAGAAGACAAGCTTCCGTACCACAATCCATCTCCACTTGCATGCATTTCCAACCCAACCAACACCTGATTCACCACAAACTGACATCCAACAGATCTGGTCCAAAAACTTATGGCATTGGGTATGGTTCTTCCAGGCCATGGTAGGAGGAGGATATCTAGACACATACAAGAGGAAATACATGTGCTCCATCCAGCTACAACCAACACCAGATTCATTGGAATCCAACATCCAGCAGAAAGAGGGACTGCAAATCTGGGGTGCATCTCCAGAGAGATAGTGGCCAGAGCACATGTGAAGACTCACTTAGCTGGACCATCTCCAACAAACTCCTGACCCCTGAAGAACCACATCTGGAGGATGGTAGGTAGAAGGAACATTTCAACCTGAGGGACATGCTTCAACCAAAACCTGGCAGTATCTGGAATTATACATCAGGTCCGTGATAGATTGGGCATCACGCCCTAGACCCATGATTCTAATCATGATTGGGCCATCTCCAACCAATACCAGACCCACTGGAAATATCTATCTGGAAGATGGTAGAAAGGAGGAATGTCATGGTGGGAAAAAGCAATCTTTCAGATATATATACATTAATATGGCTTAGTGCTACAACAAAACCAGGAAGTATCTGGAATTGCACATCATATCCGTGGTATGAAATGCTATACGTCATTGACAGTTACAGAATGCCACTCTCAACTTTATATTGCATCTCTATGGAGGACAGGCCTCCATGATCCACCATCCCATCGGCTAGGAACTGCTAAGTGGCATGGACTCCCATACTCCACTAGAAGAAAGGAGGGGAAAATGCATTGGATATTCCAGAGGACTGCATCACTGGATATAGTGCAGCGGGTGACGGTGATACTCTATTTTAAAAAGCAGAGCTACTACATCAACAGAATCAATCAACCAACACCCAGCAGCATCTGGAATTGTACATCAGGTCTGTGTTGGGAAGAGTTACAATGCAAGTGACATCAAGCATGGGCACAGGATGGAGAGTGCAGATTTTCAAAAAAATGTATATCTATCTGATGAGGCACCACTCACCACAGAGTGGGATCCACAGTGCACTAGCAAAAAGGCTCCTGTAAATAAAGAAATAACAAAAACAAAAAAGTCTGTAGTATAAAGGAAAACATCAACAAACAGCGAACAAAAACAAGCACGTCTGTACAGTACTACTGCTAATTGAGAAGTGATTTACAAGTGCAAATGTGGAGAGGGTGCTGGTTACAATAGGGGTTATGTCGCACTCCTATTGGTAAAGAGCTGCTGCATAATCATTTACACGTGGATATGCAGAAGTGGGAGGTGGAAGACTATTGGCAAGCATTGAAGATTTGCGTCAATAGAGTGCAGTATTAAACGAGAAAACTATTTTGTGAGAAGAGGTAAGATATCATATCGAAAAACACCGATCTTTCACTTCTTAGAACTGCATTATTAAGTCTTTTCAATCTTATAAAATGCTAAGCATAACAAATTTTGGCCACTGTAAAGAACAGTTTCACAATCAAAGTTATCATGGACATAATGAAAAAAAGTTACTCAAAAACCTAAGATATGACACTGCATTCTCACAAACAGAATCAATGTGCAAACAGGCCAGGAGGACTTTTGCTTGGGTACTTAACCAAGAAGTCTTGTTCATTGATTTGCTGATTAAATATTAGATGTTCTTTTTGCATTATGGTATACTTCCTAATACTCTGCTTTAAGATGAAAAAGATTGATCACTTAAAACTAAAAAGCTAATACATACATAACTTAATACATAAATACTGGGTACCTGCTGATAACTATTATACAATACACAGTAAACTTTGATTTTGTTGATAATTTTTTTTTTTTGCACAAACAAATTTGTCAAATATTTTAACTATAATATGGACATCACATGTTTAACACTCGGTTACACAGTTGGTCGATTTGTATAAAATACTATCATGTAACCTTGTGAACATTACATTATGTCTGTGAGTTTGCATTATTCTGCCCCCCTTTTTATTCTATAATAACTGCATAGGTTTGTAATTAGATTAAATAAATGGGAGGTTCACCTACATTTAATCTTGTATGTAAGTATAATAAAGAAAAAAAAATTAAAATCTTGCCTTGCAGTAACAAATAGATTAGTACAAACAATAAATGGGCAAAAGCATACACAAATAAATAGCATGTACACTGCAACAGCAAGTAAGCATTTTAAAGAATTGTCCATTATCAAATGTGAAATGAGCTTAAATAAGCAAGATCCTTAACATATTGTTAACTTTCTTTCTTTATTCCTAAATATACAAATAATTACTCAAATGTTATAATATGCATGCAAAGAATCTGAACTTAGTTTGATCACTTGATTTTCAAATGAAAATGCCAATCATGATGTTTCAGTAAAATATATAATTGAAATGTTTAATTTTAGCCAAATAGGTTTCAAATGTCCTAATAAAATTATGAAAGCTTAAAGTCATCACTGTGTATGTCATTATGTAATCTCTTAACTTGTATGTTAATGGCCAGTGTTGTTCTAGGTTCTAAGGGACCCATGTCCCCTTGTATCAAAATTAAAGGAAACACAGTAGAAATGTTAAAAGAGACCCTTGAGATATATTACTAAGAATCAACAAGCATATTTAGCTGATGGAACAGGACTGCATTAGCTCCGTTTTGTTATTTACTTTTACAATTACTGTCACAAATCTACAACACAGGAAACACAGTAGAAATGTTAAAGAGACCCTTGAGATATATTACTAAGAATCAA